CCTAGGTTCTCGTTTCTCTTAAATGCCACCTGCCTCTAGTTAATGTATTTGTTTGAGCTTCAGAGGACTTCGCTGAGTTGGTGATCGCTAGATGGCAAATATTTGTTGGTTTCTCTCCATATTCCTTTAGGGTTTTACTGTTTACAAGCTTCTTTTTTGTATTGAGAGAAAAATAGCTAAAGTATCTTTGACATCTTTTCTGCAACAGGCAAAAAGACTTGAAACAAAGTGGGGATCTTTTATTTATTTATTTATTTATGAGATGGAGTCTTACTCTGTCGCCCAGGCTGGAGTGCAGTGGGGTGATCTCGGCTCACTGCAACCTCCACCTCCAGGGTTCAAGTGATTCTTTTGCCTCAGCCTCCCGAATAGGTGGGATTATAGGAGCATGCCACCATGTCCGGCTAATTTTTGTATTTTTAATAGAGATGAGGTTTCGCCATGTTGGCCAGGCTGGTCTCGAACTCCTGACCTCAGGTGATCTGCCTGCCTCAGCCTCTCAAAGTGCTGGGATTACAGGTGTGAGCCACCACGTCTGGCCTAAAGTAAGAATCTTGAACCATCCTTTCTTTTCTGTTCTCCTTACCCTGTTACCTACTGGACCAGATCTTTTGTCCTGAAAACTTGTCTCCTACTCTGCCCTCTTTTATATTCCCCTACTCCAAAAGAAACCTATTCACCCACACATATACATGGTTAATTCTTGGGGTATCTCTGCAATTCTTAAATAATTTATGCAAACATCCAGAAGCAGCTAGGGACTCTCCATCCCTAGTTCGCAGTCTCGCAAGTCAAGACCTTTTCTTGATGTGATTCATGTCAAATACTTAGGACACTGCTGTATTTTGGATGGGTCGAACCTACTTAATCTTTAATCTTAAAGCAGACAGAAACAATTGGGGGCCTTCCATGTAGAAAGCGGGGTCAGGAGGGCAAGAAAGGGAATATGAATGCATATCCAAGTCACTCTGGAAATTTTATGGGGGTATAAGAAACTTAGGTCAAAGTGGTCACAAGATTGTTTAATAGGAGATAGAAGGATATAACTCCATGTTTACTGCTAGAAACCAAAGCTTTGTGTGAAATCTTGAATTTATGGGGAAAGAGGGAGAGTACCAGTGTGTTCTTTTCCTGATCCCTTCCCCTCATTCCTTAACTGCAGGAGACTGAGCTCCTTTGGGCTTTGGTGACCCCATCACTGAGGGGTTTATTTGACAGTTGATTTTGCTGTACTAGATACTTCCTTTCCCATTTCCTAATCATTTTGCAATATACATGCTGACTCTTTTCCCTTCCCTCCTCCTTTCCCTGGGAAGATACAATGAATAAGTAAAGACTTATCGGTAGTGAAAAAAATTGTAATGAATCCTAATTTTCAAATTAATCATATTCCAATACATAGCATAATAATTTAAAATTTGTAACGTAGTTATACATAAAAGGAGGGTAGTCTCCCATTGGAGTTTATTTTTTATAATACATGATGTAGCTGTTCTAATACTTTTAAAATAAGCCTGAGTTTTAGATTCTAAAATACTGGCTATAAAGTAAAGATGAAAAGGGAAGAGGAAAAGCATTTTTATGCCCCTTCTTTGGCAGAGAGTTGTGCAGCCAAGCAAATTTTTAAACCAAACACATTTTGCTTTTGATATTTATTCTGCTCCCCTACCCTAGCATAATCCTGTTGTGCTAGGCAACCAACCGCAAATTTAATCAATTCAATTTTACTTATTAAGTTTCTACTGAGTGCCAAATACCCAATGATGGGAGAGAAGAGATTAAAGTCAGCCTGCTTGCCTTCAAACAGACCACAGTTGAGTATGAAACACAAAACGTTTGTCACCTCACAGACTTGTAAAAGATACTAATATGTATCCATGTAGACCCAGCAGCATCAGAAAATATTATGTAGTGATTTTTTTAAAGAGTAAAAAAGAAATTATTTCAAGTAGCTATAAAAGTATCAAGGAGATAGATTTAAAAAGCATGAATAAGAAAACATGAAGGGTTTAATAAGGGTCTTTGTAAGAAACGCTTAAGAGGCAGGCCTTGAGTCAGATGTCTTAGAGCCTTGTACAAGTCATGGTATGGATATTTTAAAATCACTAGAATTTTTCATAGTTTGGGAAAACATCTTAAGCAAAGGATTGATATGATAACGTTGATGTATCAAAAAGATAGTTTTGGCTTCAGTGTAGAAGAGGATAAGGGTGAAAACGGGCTGGGCGCGGTGGTTCACGCCTGTAATCCCAGCACTTTGGGAGGCCAAGGCGGGTGAATCACGGGGTCTGGAGTTCCAGACAAGCCTGGCCAAGGTAGTGAAACCCCGTATCTACTAAAAATATGAAAATTAGCCGGGCGCGGTGGCGGGCACCTATAATCCCAGCTACTTGGGAGGCTGAGGCAGGAGAATTTCTTGAACCCGGGAGGTGGAGGTTCAGTGAGCAGAGACTGCGCCTGCACTCTAGCCTGGGCGACAGAGCAAGACTGTCTTAAAAAAAAGAGTGAAAAAGGAGAAAACAACAAAATGTTGCAATAATCTGGCAAAAAAATTAAAGCCTGAAATAAAGCAATGACAGTGGGAATAAAAGGCTGTATTTGAGAGATGTTTGAAAAATGAAATTGTCAACTTTGGTGACATAAGCAGATGTGGGAGATGAGAGATCAGGAAAAGTCGAGACTGATTTCCAAGTTTCTCCTTTGAGAAACTGGGTAGATAACGGTGCCTTTGACTTAAATTAAAAATATAGGAAAAGCAGGCTGGGCATGGTGGCTCACGCCTATAATCCCAGCATCTCTAGGGGCTGAAGCAGGCTGATAACCTGAGGTCAGGAGTTCGAGACCAACCTGGTCAACATGGTGAAACCCCTTCTCTACTAAAAATACAAAAATTAGCCAGGCGTGGTGGCGGGCACCTGTAATCCCAGCTATTTGGGGGGCTGAGGCAGGAGAATCGCTTGAACCCAGTAGGCAGAGGTTGCAGTGAGCTGAGATCATACCACCACACTCCAGCCTGAGCAACTTAAGCAGCTGTAGGAATAAGAAAGGGGAGACAAAAGAGTAAGGGATGAACTGTTCCATTTTAGATGTGGCATATTTGAGATTTTTGAGAGACATTCAAGTGGAATTCCTCAACAGAGCTGAACTAACAGGAAGAAATTTGGGTATTACAGATGATATCGAAAGCCACACATCCAAAATGGAGACATCCAAAGGATAAGCAAATTAAGAAAGGTTGGAAAAAAGAGCCTAGAACCAAACAGGGAATGCCAGTATTTTTAGAAAGGGTAATATTCTAGAAAGACTAAAGAGTGGCCACAGTGATACACAGCAAAAAAGATGAATGTAGAAAAGATGAGTGTGTTGACATTTCAGAAACAAATTTTTTTTTAATGTTTCAAGAAGTCTGTTCTCTATATTTCATATTTTGGCATCAAAATTCTGTTTTGCTACAAAATACAATCGTACATTGTGCAAAATTCACTTACAAACATAATAAAGTTTCTACAAGTCTGCATTAACTTCCACAACCTCTGAACAACTGCAGAAAAGGTTGACACTGATAATGGAAAGGTTATCAAGTAGTTAGTTGCTTCAAAATTCTGTCTGTATTAGTGCTATAACATGATTTTGAGCTATCAAAACCATATTTACAAAAGTATCCTATTGATATTATTCAGCTTGATGTGGGATCTTTTTCATTAATAGAAATACATATTTTTACATTAGGAAATATGGGAATTGCCAGTTTTCATCTATGAGCAACAATTTTGGAATTAATTATTGTATGGGAGAATCAATATGCTATCAATGTTTCCATTTGCAATGAGTATGTATTACTTTAATTGTAATAAAAAATGTTATTTGACCCTGAAAGGGCATCAAATCATTTATGAATTTTATTTAAATTATGCAAAAATATCACATATTTGGAGAGAAGAATGGAAATAAACACCCAAAATCATCATTTGGGTCATTACATAGTGTAAAAGTTAGGAACAATGGTCATGAAGTCAAAAAGAACTAAACTGAAACTCTCGCTCTGAAACTTCTTGCCTAATTTATAGTCATTATGAAGACAATATATATTTTGTGACCTCAAAAGAAATGTGTCTGATACACAATTGGCACACAATAAACATTGGTTAAATAAATCATTTAATTAAAAAGCTATGTCTTGGCCAGACGTGGTGGCTCATGCCTGTAATCCCAGCACTTTGGGATGCTGAGGTGGGTGGATCACGAGGTCAAGAGATGGAGACCATCCTGGCAAACATGGTGAAACCCCATCTGTACTACAGATACAAAAAATTAGCTGGGCATGGTGGTGCTGCCTGTAACCCCAGCTACTCAGGAGGCTAAGGCAGGAGAATTGCTTGAACCCAGGAGGTGGAGGTTGCAGATTGCACCACTGCTCTCCAGCCTGGCAACAGGGCGAGACTCCATCTCAAAAAAAAAAAAAAAAAGCTATTTCTTATACAAAAACATTATTCAGTGAATGACATACAATTTGAGTTGGAGTAATAGGTTTGCACCAAGCAATCCACATGTTTTATATAATACTCCCTATAATCAGTGGCCTGTATTTATAGGATATGTAACTTGGGGTCTACAAACTGTGGTAGAAGACAGTGTTTCCATGAGAAACAACTGTTTTTCAAAGACTCGTCTTAGTACATTCAGACACAAATAGAAGAGCTCCGAAGCAACTAATTACTTAAAGGGCCTCAAGGATATTTCTGGATGGAATGAAAATAATATACTTCATGAACTGAAATTCTTCCCATACAAAGAAATTCCAGTTTGACTACCTTTAAAGTATTTAGACAATTATGAGTGATTTAATACTAGTTTCAATTCAAGATAAAACTTGGTTATGTAATTAAATGCAAACAGAGATTAAGCATAAAAATTAGTAAAAATATGTTCAAATGTGAATTAAAACAAAAACAAAAAATAGTTTCTTAAAATCAAAGACAACAACAAGAATAGAAAAATACCTTGCAGTTCTGTAGCAGTCGTATGAGATGTTCAAAGCAATTGCTGTTAAGAAAAATGGCCTGAAGAACAGGCCTATCTGTACAATCTAACATGGCTGTGATGGTATCTAGGAAAATAAAAAGAAAATCATCCATGTAAAAGTGAAAATTTGGGATCATACAAACATTTACTGTAATCATTTTTCTTTTTAATTTTTAAAACAATTTTGATGTTCAGTATTTTTAAATGACACTAACACACAAAAACACATAAAAGCATTTTTATGCCTTTAGAAGCTATACACCAAACCATTAATGTTTGTTATGAGTGGGTGGCAGGATATAAAGAATTTTCTTTTTACTATCTGAATTTCCTAGTTTAGTGCTAATTAAAACATTTTATTTCTATAAGGAACTATCAGTTAATTATATTTGTATTTAACAACCTTACATAGGAATACAATAAGAAATCATAATATATTGGTGAAGGAGCCTGCAGAGCAGAGAGACAGAGATAAATAAGCAGAATGACACAAAACAACCAACACAAAGAGAAGGGAAGAGAAACACAAACACACACACACACACACACACACACAGCCTCTGAGGAAAAAAAGAAACAAAAACAGAGGCCCTCTAGAGAAAGGGCAGATTTTTGAAGTGACCTCTACAGAGATGTTATAGAGGCACATACAAAATTGATTGTATGGGACTCTTTACCATAGGTTACTACAAACGGTGCTTTGTGAAAATTTACTTTTCCTAGAATTTCAAAGTCATAGCTAATTTTCTTTTTAACATTGATGCATTTAGGAGATTACACTGTCAAAACAATATAGAGACTTGACTTTGTTATTGTTAAAGCAAAGAGGGTGTAACAAACACATCAATTCTACATAAATTATTTTGAAGTCAAAGTCTAAGCATTCACATGATATCTGAATTAAACAATCAATGCTTTCCATACAACGGCCTTGTATTTCAAGAGAAAGTGGTAGATATGAAAATTAAAAACAGACTCAGAAAAAGTTGTCATTATGTAATACTTACTCAGCATTTTGATCTGTAGAGCAATAAATCGGTTTTCCCACTGTCTGGACCTTCTTTGATTAGGTAAAGCTGAATGATCTGAATTTAGCAATTTAAAATAGTTCTCCAGAATAGTACTGGTTTCCACTTGACGCTGATCAGAATTGCTACTAAGAAGGATATGTACCACTTCTGTAAGGCACTTCAGAGTTAGTTCTGCCTTCCTACCCACTTCTTCAGGATCTCCATCCTCCCAGGAATCACAATCTGCCAAAACTCGCATAAGAACTTCCATAGTGGCTGGAGAAATTGCTTGTAAAGCATTCCTCTGAAATATTAGAGACAATAAAAATGAAAACTAAACCTAATGAAGAGTTCTGTATGTTTGCAACAAAGAGAATTTAATACATCTGCAGGCAACCTTTTCTTTTAATAAATAAACACATAAAAATTTGTAACAGATACTCTAATAGACACTGCTAGTGGTTCATACATATTAAATCTTCCCTTCCTCTCAGAAAACTCACTTTACACTCTCTCTTGTGGCTAAGGGTAGCCATGTGATATAGTTCTGGTTAAGGACATATGGTAGTAGCCTATGAAGAGGGTATCACTTTATAAATAAAAAGGGAAGGACCCTTTGCCCTTGGGCTTTTCACCTTTTCCTGTCTAGAATGTAGACATAATGCTTGCAGCCACTTTTATATCATGAAGAGATAAGTCCAAGATTAAAGTAGCAGGCTACAGAAAGAATAGGAATATTGAAGGACCTCAGTCCTTGATGTTCTTATTGAGTTACTGTACCAACCCAGAAGTGCCTAAACCTGGATTTCTTAGGCAAAATGAAACAAATAAAAAACAACCTCAAATCGATTAAGTGTCTCTCAGGTTTTCAGGTTGGTTACAGAAAATCCATCACAACTGATTTAAATATATAAGATGACTGGTTTGGTTTTGATTCTACAAACATACTTCTGAAATTCCATACATTAAGTAATTGGTAGCTATATGTCAAGGTGACCAGAAAAACACAGAAATAAACAATATGTATTGCCCAAAATTGTCAAATTATGACATAATGAAACAGAACACAGTTATGCAAAATTACCTGAAATAGCACTTACGCCATTAGGACTGTTTTCATCAATAATTATCAATATAATATATAATATCAACAACAATATTTACTACTATGGAAGAAACTGCTAATGGCCCGCCCAACATTCAATCTCCTTCACCTTCCTTATTCAGAGAAACTGATGTTTTCCTGGACACATGACCACCCAGAATAAATTCACATTTCCTAGCCTCCCCTGCTGCTAAGGAGGCCAAAGAAGCAAGTTGTATTACATTTTTTATGTGGACATGTTTTCCTTCTCCACAGTCATATGATCAAGTTTGGCAAATTAGATCAAAAGACAGGGAGTGTCAGCTTTTCAGTATCTCTTTATTTTGCTTTTTATTTTTTTCAGACAAGGTCTTCCTCTGTCACCCACGTTGAAATATAGTGACATGATCACGGTTCACTGCAGCCTCAACTATCCAGACTCAAGTGATCCTCCTGCCTTGGCCTCCTGAGTAGCTGGGACCACAAGTGTGCACCATCATACCTGACTAATTAAAAACAAAACTTTTTTATAGAGACAGGGTCTCCCTGTATTGCCCATGCTCGTCTTGAACTCTGGGGCTCAAGAGATCCTGCCACCTCGGCCTCCCAAAGTTCTGGGATTATAGGAGTAATCCACCATGCCCAGCCTCAGTATCTCTTTAAAAGATACTTGACACATGCCGTTTGCATCCTTCTTCTTTACCCCCTCTATCTTAGAGCCCCAAATGTGAACATAATGGCAAGAACTCTAGAAGCTATCTTGCAGCATGAAACAGAATAGTAAGCATGACAGATTGACATTCAAAAGAAAACTGAGTCCCTGAAGATCCCAGAGGCACCAGATTAACTCTGAATTGTTTATTACTTTGTTTTTAATTAGAAAAGTAACTTAAGCTGTTTTAATTTTATTAACTGCTACATACAGCAAATCATAGATCTAACTGATAAAACTGTTATTTACTTACTTTTTAAAAGTACAAATACTTTAAGTGCTGTACATATATTATGTCATTTAGTCCTTACAAATATCCCACAAATGTTACTATTTCTGTATTATAAATTAATAAACTAAAACATATGTAATTAGTTTATCCAAGGTCACACAACTAGTTAGAGATGGACACTCAAACATAGGTCAGTCTGGCTCCAAAATCTTTGTTTTCAACATAACACAAAACAGAACAGGTTTCAAATATGCCAATGGGAAGCCCAGATATGATGCTTTGGGAAAGGAAACCAGTAATCAGACTTTGATTTTTCTGATCTTTATGACATCATGACCATTCTTTTTTTTTTTTTTTTTAGTCTCACTCTGTCGCCCAGGCTGGAGTGCAGTGGCCGGATCTCAGCTCACTGCAAGCTCCGCCTCCCGGGTTCACGCCATTCTCCTGCCTCAGCCTCCCGAGTAGCTGGGACTACAGGCGCCCCCACCTCGCCCGGCTAGTTTTTTTTTTTTTGTATTTTTTTAGCAGAGACGGGGTTTCACCGTGTTAGCCAGGCTGGTCTCGACCTCCTGACCTCGCGATCCACCTGTCTCGGCCTCCCAAAGTGCTGGGATTACAGGCTTGAGCCACCGCGCCCGGCCTGACATCATGACCATTCTTTAGCCTTCATATATTCAATTCATCGAAACACCCTTGTACTAATGCCATATTCAACAAACAACTTTCCAACTTTGATAGAAATCCCACTATAGCTGTGCCTGGATCACAAGGATTTTTGGTACATAAAATAATAAATTGGACTTCCAGTATCTACTTGATTTTAGTGTTAGGTTTCATTATGGAGGTCTCTCGGGGCTTGACTACCCCTAGGCACTAACAAGAACAAGTCTCTCTGTTTTCAAAAAGAGAAGGGGATCCAATCAATTTCTACATTAGTCATAACAATGCCACTTCCATTTTCATTCCTGTATACTTATTCATTTTTTTCACTGTAGTAGAGAAATGATAGAAATGGGGAGATAATGACCCAAATGAAGGAAATCAGCTAATACTGGAATGTGATTAAGCAAACTTACACTGAAAAACAAGATTCTGGTCACCACCCCTCTCACTACAAAGAGACTCTTTTCTTCTACTAGGGGGAAGAGGAGAAAGTCAAATAGTCCACCTGGAAACCTAACTAGGGACTCTGGCTAGGTGCCAAAAAATAAAAAGGACAGGACAAATAAAACAAAGAAATGGAAATTTCAGTAGTGCTCTGGAGGCTAACAAGGTACAAGGGTAAAAAGGATAAAAATATTTTTTTTAAAAAGGCCATTGAGCATAAGGGCCATTCAATGAAAAAAAGAAAATGGTAATACAGAGAGAAAACAAAACAGAGCAAAAACAAGGAGGAAAGGGGAACTGCATCAGTACCAACAGACAGGAAACTCTTTTTTTATTTTTTATTTTTTATTTTTTTGAGACGGAGCACGATCTCGGCTCACTGCAAGCTCTGACTCCCGGGTTCACGCCATTCTCCTGCCTCAGCCTCCCGAGTAGCTGGGACTACAGGCGCCCGCCACCATGCCTGGCTAAATTTTTTTTGTATTTTTAGTAGAGACAGGGTTTCACTGTGTTAGCCAGGATGGTCTCAATCTCCTGAATGTAGACAAGGATTTCCTCCTAAATGCCCAAAATAATAAGGTAATATGCCTAGTATATTATTGGCATAATTTTGTATCTTTAAATAAAATTTACTTAAGTTTTAAAAAATACAGGTTTCTAAGTTTTTAAAATTATAATTTAAATATGTAATTTGGTTCAACAATATTAAGAACATAGTACACTGATGTTAGTAAGAGAATGTTTAATGTGAAAGAAAAAACTGCTGGTTAAAAAAGAGAAGATAACACTTTTGATCTAAAATAGAGAAAGAAACAGAGGGATAGAGGGAGGGAATTATGGAGATCTATAAACTTGGATGGAAAAAAACCAGATATCTTAATTTCTACTAATCTCTAACTAAAATTGAGTATTTCCTTCAAATTTAAATGTAAGCAACAAAAGCACAGTAGTGGAAATAATACTTGTGATTTTGTTGGTTAGGCACAGTTGACTCACACCTGTGATCCCAGGACTTTGGGAGTCTGAAGTGGGTAGGTTGCTTGAGCTAGGAATTGCTCAACCTGGGCAACATGGCAAAAGAGTATCTTTACAAAAATACAAAAATTAGCTGGGTGTGGTGGCATGTCCCTGTAGTCCCAGCTCCTTAGGAGGCTGAAGTGGGAGAACTGACTGAGCCAGGAGGTCAAGGCTACAGTGAGCCATGACAGAGCCACTGCACTCCACTCTGGGCAGCAGAAAAAAACCCTGTCTCAAAACAACAACAACAAACAAAACAAAACAAACTTGTGATTTTGTCATCAGTAAAAATTATATGCATTTTCATTTATTACAGCTGTTACAGTCTCTCACAATATCATTTATGCTAATTTCTTCTTGGAAGTTACATTAGTTTCTAGACTTGCTGTTACAGCTTTTTAAATTTAATGTATTAAAAAGAAGCACATATTGCTATGTCACAGATTTGTTTTATTAATATTTTAGTAACTGCATTTCAGTATAATTGGTTTCCTTTATTTGAGGCATTTAAAACATTCTGACAAAGGGCTTTATCAGATTGCCAAAGGGATGTGTGGTATAAGAAGTATAACAAGTGTTAGGAACCTCTGATCTAAACTGTGTGGTTTAAGAAAACACACGTATAAGAACATACTTTCTGAACTATAATCCTTCTGTCAACTAGAATTTATATTCAAAGTTTATGACAGTGGTCGGGCATGGGGGACTCACACGCCTGTAATTCCAGCACTTGGCGAGGCCGAGGTGGGCAGATCACCTGAGTCCAGCACTTCAAGACCAGCCTGGGCAATATGGAAAAATCTCATGTTTGCTAAAAATACAAAAATTAATTGGGCATGGTGGTGTGTGCCTGTAGTCCCAGCTACTTGGGAGGCTGAAGTGGGAGGATCGCTTGAACCTGGGAGGCAGAGGTTGCATTGAGCCAATAATTGCACCTCTGCACTCCAGCCTGGGAAACACAGTGAGACCCCATTTCAAAAAACAAAAACAGAAAAGTTTATGACAGCACTTAGATGCTTACCTTAAAAAAACAAAAAAAAAACAAAAAAAAACTAGAAATTCTTTTCTGTAAATTTTAAAACACTACTTGGATTTGTTGAAAAAAAAATATAAACTTACAAAAATACATTCAGTATTATAGGTACACAGGAGAGTGAATAAATTGGTGTCTTTAGAAACCAAACTACGAGACTTTGATTTCATCAAGTGGACTGATGAGGCTGACTTCCTCTATCATCTGAAATAAAAACTAGTGCTTGAAAGCTACCATAAATAAGAACTTACAATACCAAAAATTGTTAAATTTGTTTATTTATTCAGTAATTTTATTGTCAGTGCTAAATATTACTTAGGTTTTTTGGAAAATAAAAGACGCAGATTAGTTACAATATATAAGTTCAATATTTGTATGGTGAATGCAATTATAAAAAGACAAAGAACATACTAAACAATCCATGGAAAGCTTTTTGCACTGTTAATTATAATTGTATATATTAAATTTCAACATTTTCCTTACCTGCCCACCGGCTACAATGGCTCCAAAAAGATGCAATAAGCAACATTTAAGACTTTCCTTGAGATGTTCACTTTCCTGAAAACATTCTGTAAATATAACACACCCATAAATAAATAAATAAATAAATAAGATTTGTCTTTCACAATATGATTTATCTCTAAGAAATGTCTGATGCAAATGCGAAGAACTATTTGTGAAAAGGCTAATCTGTGTTAAAAGCCAAGGTTGATACGCATTTTGGCTTAGGAAAAGAAAAGAGAAGCCATCTACCAGATAGCATTTTAGGTATTCACGTCGTCTCACTGAGTTCTCATAATTCTCCATATAAGGATGATATTTGGCCCCCATTTATATATGAGCAAAAGGAAGGTCAGAAGTTAGCATCTTGCCTGAAGTCACATGACCACTAACTGACAGGGCTAGAAACTAACTCAAACCTGGCATAAAATTAGACGTCTCTCTTTGTTTTTCCCCTTTGAGATGGAGTCTCACTGTATTGCCCAGGCTGGAGTGCAGTGGTGCGATCTCAGCACACTGCGATCTCCGCCTCCCAGGTTCAAGCAATTCTCCTGCCTCAGCCTCTGGAGTAGCTGGGATTACAGGTGCCTGCCACCACGCCCGGCTAATTTTTGTATTTTTAGTAGAGACGGTGTTTCGTCATGTTGGCCAGGCTGATCTCGGACTCCTGACCTCAGGTGATCTTCCCGCCTTAGCCTCCCAAAGTGCTGGGGTTACAGGAGTGAGCCACCGCGCCCAGCCTAGACGTCTCTTTATTAAGACTATCAGACCTCTCATTAATAAAAATTGACCATAACTAGTCCACTACAGAATGAAAGAGTTGGACAAAAAGATTTCCTGAGTCCACTCCAGGGCTAATGTTCTAAAATTCTGGTACCAATAGTAAGATTTCTTTTAAAAGTATAAATTATTTTATTGTTTGTTTGTTTGTTTGTTTTTTAAAAAAACAGGCTATACATGCATACAACAAAGAAAAAGCAGCATAAAGACCTGACAAGGGGCCGGGCGCAGTGGCTCACGCCTGTAATCCTAGCACTTTGGGAGGCCAAGGCAGGCAGATCACGAGGTCAGGAGAGCGAGACCATCCTGACCAACATGGAGAAATCCCGTCTCTACTAAAAATGCAAAAAAATTAGCCGGGTGTGGTGGCGCATGCCTGTAATCCCAGCTACTCAGAAGGCTGAGGCAGGAGAATTACTTGAACCTGGGAGGCAGAGGTTTCCTCTAAGAAATGTCTGATGCAAATGCGAAGAACTATTTGTGAAAAGGCTAATCTGTGTTAAAAGCCAAGGTTGATACGCATTTTGGCTTAGGAAAAGAAAAGAGAAGCCATCTACCAGATAGCATTTTAGGTATTCACGTCGTCTCACTGAGTTCTCATAATTCTCCATATAAGGATGATATTTGGCCCCCATTTATATATGAGCAAAAGGAAGGTCAGAAGTTAGCATCTTGCCTGAAGTCACATGACCACTAACTGACAGGGCTAGAAACTAACTCAAACCTGGCATAAAATTAGACGTCTCTCTTTGTTTTTCCCCTTTGAGATGGAGTCTCACTGTATTGCCCAGGCTGGAGTGCAGTGGTGCGATCTCAGCACACTGCGATCTCCGCCTCCCAGGTTCAAGCAATTCTCCTGCCTCAGCCTCTGGAGTAGCTGGGATTACAGGTGCCTGCCACCACGCCCGGCTAATTTTTGTATTTTTAGTAGAGACGGTGTTTCGTCATGTTGGCCAGGCTGATCTCGGACTCCTGACCTCAGGTGATCTTCCCGCCTTAGCCTCCCAAAGTGCTGGGGTTACAGGAGTGAGCCACCGCGCCCAGCCTAGACGTCTCTTTATTAAGACTATCAGACCTCTCATCAATAAAAATTGACCATAACTAGTCCACTACAGAATGAAAGAGTTGGACAAAAAGATTTCCTGAGTCCACTCCAGGGCTAATGTTCTAAAATTCTGGTACCAATAGTAAGATTTCTTTTAAAAGTATAAATTATTTTATTGTTTGTTTGTTTGTTTGTTTTTTAAAAAAACAGGCTATACATGCATACAACAAAGAAAAAGCAGCATAAAGACCTGACAAGGGGCCGGGCGCAGTGGCTCACGCCTGTAATCCTAGCACTTTGGGAGGCCAAGGCAGGCAGATCACGAGGTCAGGAGAGCGAGACCATCCTGACCAACATGGAGAAATCCCGTCTCTACTAAAAATGCAAAAAAATTAGCCGGGTGTGGTGGCGCATGCCTGTAATCCCAGCTACTCAGAAGGCTGAGGCAGGAGAATTACTTGAACCTGGGAGGCAGAGGTTTCAGTGAGCTGAGATCACGCCATTGCACTCCAGCCTGAGCAACAAGAGTGAAACTCTGTCTCAAAAAACAAAACAAAACAAAACAAAAACAAACAAACCTGACAAGGAAATGTAAGTTTCCCTTTAATCTATTCCTCAACCCACGACACTACCACTGCCTTGCACACCTGTAATCCCACCACTCTGGGAGGCCGAGGTGGGTGGATCACCTGAGGTCAGGAGTTCAAGACCAGCCTGGCCAACAGGGTGAAACCCCATCTCTACTAAAATTGCAAAAATTAGCCAGGTGTGGTGGCGGGCACCTGTAATCCCAGCTACTCAGGAGGCTGAGGCAGGAGAATCTCTTGAACCCAGGAGGCAGAGGTTGCAGTGAGCTAAGATTATGCCACTGTACTCCAGCCTGGGTGACAGAGCAACACTTCACCCCCCTGCCAAAAAAAAAAAAAAAAAAGTACATAGTACATAAATATACTCCTGCATCAACTTTTTTTGCTTTTTAACTTAATACATTCTGGATATTACTACATCTTTCTACTTTTTTTTTTTTTTTTTTTTTTGAGACAGGGTCTTACTTTATTGCCCAGGCTAGAGGGCAATCACAGCTCACTGCATCCTTGGCTGCCTGGGCTCATGTGATTCTTCCATCTCAGCCTCCCAGGTAGCTGGGACTACAGGCACACACTACCATGACCATCTAATTTTTTGTATTTTTGTGTAGAGACAGGGTTTTGCAATGTTGTCCAGGCTGGTCTCAAACTCCTGGGCTCAGGTGATCTGCCCACCTCAGCCTCCCAAAGTGCTGGGAGTACAAGGGTAAGCCACTGCATCCAGCCTGGACATTATTACATCTTAACAGATACATCTGCCTCATTCATTTTTTGTAATGACTAGAGGCATACACCGCTACAATGTGTTACCTTCACTTAACCAGTTCTCTCTTGATAAACCGCTATGCTTTTCCCCTTTCTTTTGATGCTGTTATGAACACTCTTTTGCATACGTCATTACACACTGGGACAAGACTGTAACAATAAAATTATTTCCAATAACAAATGTTACCAAAAAGAAACAGCTTTGAGGTAACCTGGATAGAAACTTATAATTAAAAAATTAAGAAGTTCCAGCTATATGGGAATAACTGGTACTACACATGGCTTTCAGCTATAAACAACTAGAAAACTGGAGAAAATCAGTTCCAGAAACTGGGTCACAGAACTGTGATACACACAAGAAGGAAAACAAAGTAAGCACAAGGATCACACAGATTCCTGTTTGGAGACACTTTCCGAACTACTACATGGAAAGGGGGAACCTTAAAAGAACACAGTCATTTGTTGAGTTGAGGAGACAGAAATCAAAGTTCAGAGAGGCCTAGGCAACTGGAATTTGTAAAGCAGAGTACTGGAGTGGAGGAAGCTATACAGAGAAAGGGCTCCAGAAATATGCACAGGGCTCACTTTGTGTCTCAGTGTCTATCCTCACATAATAGTGTGATATCCCACAAGATCAGCAAAAAACTACAAAGAAACTGTAAGCTGAGTAATTCTCTGATTTTACACAGAGCTAGAAGATGACAGAGTTCCATTCATCCACAGTGGATACACAGAAAGATAATACATAAAAAGGACATAAAAACATATACCATTGCAAATTCTCAACATAAGATTGCTGGGTGGCTATATTAGTATATGACAAAGTAGGCAAGAAATATAATCAAGGCAAGGAATGTTATTCATGATGAAAACTGGAACTCAATAAATTTAAATAAGAAAATACAGCTCAATGAGTTTAAGTTTATTGAAGTCATAAAGAGTATTTTCTCTTGCCATAATGGAAATATATTAGAAAGTAATGAAAAAAAGATCTGGAGACCCTTTTCATGAAAATGGCATTAAAAGAAAGGTGGTCCCTGCCCCTCCCAAAGCCAAAGCCAAAGCCAAGGTTATGAAGGCCAAGAAGGCAGGGCTAAAAGGCATCCACCCCACCCCCCACACACATACAATCTGCACATCACCACCTTTTGGTGGCCCAAAACACCATGGTTCCAAAGGCAGCCCAAACAGCCTCAGAGGAACACTCGGAGAAGATACAAACTTGACTACTATGCCAGCACCAAAATCCCTTTAAGCCACTAAGTCAGCCATGAAAAAGATGACAGCAAAACACTTGTGTTCACTGTAGATATCAAGGCCAACAACTGATCAGACAGACCATGAAGAAGCTCTATGACAATGATGTGGCCAAGGTCTACACCCTGATCAGGCCTGCTGGAGAGAAGGCATATGTTAGACTGCCTCTGGAGTATGAGGCTTTTGATATTGCCTACACAACCGGGATCATCTAAACTGAATCCATCAGGTTAATTCCAAATATACACTTTTCTTTTTTTACCATAAAGAAAAAAAGGGCTGGGGGTGGAGGCTCATGTCTGTAATCCTAGCACTTTGGGAGGCTGAGGTGAGTGGATCACTTGAGGCCAGGAACTGGAGACCAGCCTGGCCAACATGGTGAAACCCCATATTTACTAAAAGTACAAAAATCAGCTGGGTGTGACGGCGGGCACCTGTAATCCCAGCTACTCGAGAGGCTGAGACATAAGAATCGCTTGAACCCAGGAGGCGGAGTCTGCAGTGAGCCAAGATCGTGCCACTGTACCACTCCAGCCTAGGTGACAGTGTAAGAACCCATGTCAAAAAATAAAAATAAAAAAAGAAAGAAAGAAAGAAGGAAAAAAGGATCTGGAAACTCCCCAAACACTTGCAG